GGCTGTGACGAGGGATGCAAGGTGCACAATAGGCCAGGGTCTGAACTTTAGGAATATATAGATGGAATGATTTTATAGTAATTGACACCAACACATTAGAGAACAGAAAGTTGCTGGCTAACTATGAGTCACATGTAGACATTGTTTCCATTAACTCTGTTTCTTTTGGTGGCATAGCTTGTTATTTTAAAAACTCAGCATGTGTGGCTGTATGTATGTTCCCTAATTTCTGATCACCTTTAAGCCTCGTATATCCATATTTATTATTATCTGAAGTTCTACTAAATAAAAATTGTTAAAAGGGGAATCAAGAGTAAACCATGAAATAATAATTATAGCCACCATTCATTAGAATTTTACCAGTCCTCTCTTTAATCCCTATAGCAAGTTAGATGTTCTATACCCTGAATCATTATACAGTGTGAAGGATCATTCTGGATGTCAGTGGTCCAGCCCAGGGTTTCATGATGGGGTAGGTAGAGCCACAGCCCAAATAGGCCACATGCCAGGCATTGGCCAACTTGCCTTTGACAAGCATATCACCAGATGGCCTTTGTTTGCAAAATAATTTACAATAGATTTTGATTCCAGTAAGATTTCTGTAGAGTTGGGAAACTGGAATTCCTTTTTGTCTTTAATATCCATTCTCATCAATGTAAACAAATAGGTCTCTATCAAGAGCCTACCAGTGACCTGGTCAGTCCTGCCAATGAACCATTGGACTTGGTGCACCCCCAGGCTGATGCTGTGGCCATTGGAATGGAAAGAATAGAGAATAAAAGGCTGCACTTGGATATTCAGCACCTGGTGGTTTTATGTGGTTAAAATCTCCTCAATAATGTTGTCAATGCTTTCACTTATATTGTGGATCTTCTGTCAGTATTCACTTCTGTTTGATTTCCCTTATGTAAGTAACGGTGTGAAATCAAAGTTCTTGTATCATGAAACTTAATTCGTATGATAACATGATATATTTAGCAGAATAGTGTAATCCGTCACTCAATATGTTTTACAAACATGAGATTAAACAGCCTTGTGCATATATTTATAAAAAGCTGACGTATACTCATGTTTGTTTTTATTTTGAATTAGCAGCACGCCTCCTATTCCTTTGTAGTTCTAATAATAAAATAATGAATAAAGGACCGCTCTGATTCCTTGTAGGTAATCACTCAGTGCCTGATGTATGACTTGTTTAGTTCACTCAGGAGTGACAGATACTGCTTGGTGGTGAATTGCATTTTAACCAGAGACAGAGCCTGAATAATGCAAGAGGAACAATGTGCATCTTATTATCCTGCCTGATGAGACACAAACGTCCCCTACCTCCAGATTTATATCTGTAACTGCAAGAGACACTTGGCTGCCTGTTGAACAATTATTCCTGCTTTTTTGCTGTGTTTGGAAAAGCAACAGCATGTGGGCTGAGTTTCAAAAGATTCTGCTTTCCAGGAGGACATGGAGCTGCCTGACTTTGTGGCAGGTCACTCAGTCAGTGAGCCGCCAGCATCCGGAAGGACCACTGCAGGGAAGCAGGGTGTGTGTCCACATGCAGTTCAGCCCCCAAGATGGCCTGTGATGTGCGGTGAACTAAAGCACAGCATACACTGCACACCAAACACACTCTCCCCTTTTCTCAGTAGGAGATTGTGTTGGAGCATGTCTATGTAAAATGTTCTTTGTCACCTTGTTGTAAAATTGGTTCTGGGTGGTTTGGAGAGAGATGAGGGATTCTCTGTGGAAAGAGGAAGCCGTGGGCCAGTCTGCTTCACATGACTGGATCCTTCTGACATGAGAATCCTGACTGAAATGGTGATAGTGGAGTGGACATGGAACACGACATGGACGCCCCGACAGTCACCCTGGGCTCCCTGAGGCTACGGCGGGCGCCATGTGGAAAGCCATCTCTGGGTTTGAGAGATTACTTCCTAATGAGATTCTTATTTATAAGCCCTTGCTTGGATTGTTGGCGTCTTCTTCCTGACTTTTCTTCTTTCTGTGTTGTTCCCATGTTTTTACTAGCTGTGGAGTCATGTTTCCTCTGGACATTTATTGTCCTGCCTAATTGGTTGTGAAACCTTCCTCTTCTTAATCCTGGGTCAGCCTGCTCCGCACTTAGGTTTCTAAAGCATTGTTCAGCATTCCAAATCCTCTTCTTGAATGTTGTTAACATCATGAATTGTTCTTGTGCAGCCCATTATGTTTTTCAGTACAGGGTAAAGAGAAGTGTAGAGGCGGTGAGGTGAAACTCTCTGGATTTAGGACATCACCTTTGCCCTGCCCCCGTTGCTATTTGTATAAACTTGGACGGACAGATTATTAAACGTCTGGGCGTTAGTGTCTCCATCTATGAAATGGAAAGAATGCTCAACATTTTCCTCTATGATTTCTGTATGTTTAATGAGCATATGAATGGGGGCTCTGAGCTCAGAGCCTGGCAGGGCTGCAGCAGCACACCACAGATATTGTTCAATCTTAGACCTGACCTTGAGATTGAAACCATGGAAGAAACCATGACCAATTTCTTTGTAGCTTTTCACTTTCCTACATATCAGAGATATTTACTATGTAGTTTTCATGCTACTTGTCCCCAAGTTCATAGCAGAAGATGGTGGTTGGGAGAAGAGTGTATGATATAGCTCCTGGTCTCTGCCTCATGCCTCATCCACATGTGCTGGTTACTGTCATCCTGAGCTAGACCTATCTGGTTTTGGACCATCTTTCTTTGCTTTCTCTTTTTTAGGTAAGGTTTGTTGTTGTTATTGAAGATGATGATGGCTTTTTGTTTGTGTTTCCTGCAATGATCAAATTGTAGCCTGCTTATAAGAGCGTGAGTGCAGGACCTTTTCTGAAATGACTTATCCTATTTCCTTTATGAGGCAAATATAGTTTGTACTTGTTCTGTATCTTGGTTTTGGGGATCTGCTTCAGAGGTACTTCTGTTTTGGAGATTCATAGTGAACACGGTTTCATAATTTCCCCCAACATTTTGCTTTATGTGCCTACAAACACCAGTCAGAGGTATGCAGCCTCCTGTTTGTGAGCTTCTCTTCAGGATACATGTAACAGTAAATATATATATTTTAAATGTCCAGGTTTAAAGCAACAGTTATCTAATAGTATTTTTGGTAGTGTATAAGTTAAAATCATTTTTTATAGAATTCTCTTTATATTACTTGCTATTCTTAAATAACTTAAGAAAAACATAATGGACTGAAGAGAAAAGCACATTACATATACAATTTAGAATATTTGCTACATTTTTAGAATGTAAAATTGAATTAAACTTAAACACTTTGTGGGGACGGAGAATGTGTGCTTTGATTGAAAACTAGCTACAGTCTTTCTGGAGATCATAGTGGAGTGCTCAGTGGCTCTGTCACGGCAGTCTCTGAATCAGTGCCTACATTTTAGATCTGAGGTGAGCCTGTTGTGTGTCTTACTTTTAACATTAACATTAACATTAACATTAACATTAATGGGTCATGTTGTAGCCAAACATATTTGTAGTTGTACTGCCAATAATGTATCTATTGGTGCACTCTAACAAAATACAAGGCCTATTGAATTGTCCCCCAAAACTAATTGTCTCTGAAATGTGTTCTTGTGGATAGTAGTTGTGTGTAACTTTCCATTAATTTTGAACACCAGAAATTATTGCTATACTAGAGGCCTGGTGCCCGAAATTCATACATGGGTAGGGTCTGTAGGCCTGGCTGGCAATCAGGGGCCTTCAAGCTGCCTGTTGGGGCGTTCCTTCCCACCCTGCCAGCTGCTGATAGGGGCCTTCCTTCACTCTTTGCTGCTCCCTGGTGGTCAGTGCATAGCAAGCGATTAAACTCCTGTTCTCTGGGTCCAACTCTAAGGGGACAATTTGAATATTAGGCTTTTATGTAAATATAGATTATTCTAATTGCATCATAAAATCCAAACACTTGATGATTGAGTGAAAAATTCTTAGCAAAAGGGAAAATAATAAGAATCAAACCTGTTTTTTAGAGGTTTTAAAGATAATTGTTAGGGCATTTCTGTGTCTGAAAGGGTATCATCTGCATTATTGATAGGCTTAAACACAGAGCTATAAAGAAGCACTTTCAATGTTGCTTGTAAAATTTAGTGGGTACTCTATATACTTCCTAAAGGTTTTGTCATACTTCTGTCATTTCAAAATCCCTATTTTTAAGCTAATTATGAGACCAAAAAGGTGCTGCCAGTGACTCTTTCTCAGTGCACTGCATTTCTCTAAATGGATGAGCCAGCAACTCAGAAAAAGAAAACAAGGGTTAATCCCCAAAGTTGTATGGTTACCATAGTGCTGGGAATTGCTAAAGCTAATTCAGGACATAACCTTACAGTCTTAGTTTTTGCTTCAGTTTTCAAAAGTGAAAAATATTTTTAAAATTTTTATTAAAAGCATACAAATTATGCCTGTGTATATTAGTAAAAATCAAGAATGTTGTTATCTTATTATACAAACATGACATTAGACATCTATATAAAATTTGGGGCAAAATTTGGTTTACAGTTGTTTGTATGGAAAGTAATAAAATAATAATATAAGAATAAACTCTGTGTATTGTGTATTCACAACTGTAAACCTTTTGCTTCACCCTGTATTCTGAATCACATTTCATCTTTTTAACCTTATTTCCTCTCTCTTTCTGAAGATTATATACTTTTGTATTATCTACAAATACAGGAATAGATAGGTTATTTCTTTAAAGTATACTGCCCAGTTTTTACTGTATTACTGTCATGGTCCCTTGACCCTGCATTAATTCAGGAAGCTCACCTGTGGAATTGTTAACAGACATTTCTTATCATGCAGAATCTGTGTATAGAGTTCCTCCCAGTAGCATGGATCAGTAAGCCCCCTCCCCATTCATTCTATAAGATGTCTACACAAAACCAAGCCTCCTGGGAAGAACTAATGAGCAGGCAAGACCTAAAGAAATAGCATTTCGATGTTGACACTTTTCTTTTTTTCTTATTTTTTCCAGAACCAAACTTCGTGTCATCTTATGCCATCGGGAATTTCACCTACTTCTTTTTCCGAGAAAACGCTGTGGAGCATGACTGTGGGAAGACCGTGTTCTCCAGAGCTGCCCGGGTCTGCAAGAACGACGTGGGGGGGCGGTTCCTGCTGGAGGACACCTGGACCACCTTCATGAAGGCCCGCCTCAACTGCTCCCGCCCCGGGGAGGTGCCCTTCTACTACAACGAGCTGCAGGGCACCTTCTTCCTGACCGAGCTTGATTTGATCTATGGCATCTTCACCACCAATGTGTACGTAACTGGAAAGGATTGCTTTCCCTGCTCTCCTACTCATTCTGAATGAGGCTATTGTTCTTTGACCTGTGTGGTTGAAACATGCAACATGCTTTAAAAAGAAATCATTTTTTACTGGGATAACAGCCAAACTTTTTTTTTTTTTTTTTTATGGATTAAATGTTGTGCTAAGATCTGTGACTTCTGAGACAGGTATTAGGGAAATACAGCTAATCCAAAGGCTTTGCTCTATCCTTATTGGAATAGTAGCATCCTATTGTTCTGCTATAAATGTGTCCTTCCCGACTTGCCAGTGTGTTCTTAGTACTTTCTGAAGTGCTGGTATGTATTAGATGTGTGTGTATGTTTTTCTATCAGCTTGTTACGTATTTACATAATGAAAGCACTGTTATCTGGCAAGTCTGATCGTTGAGATAATGTAACTCTTGACTAAACCGCAGCTCATATAGGAAATGCACATTCTTACTTTTCCCAGAGTTGATCTAAAACTACTGTCCTATAAGATGGCTGTCCTAGGCATTTCTAAAATGATGGTTATGCTTTTAAAATACTTTTGAAACAAATAGCATTTCTTTTTCTTTTGTGGGGAAGGCACTCTTAGCTTCAGAACTGGCACTGTTTGAACTAGATGAAGTGTATGACGTTTCTGATCTTTCAATTCGCTCTATTCTGGTGGACTGGAGCACAAACCCATTCTCAGCTGAGGTGCTGTGATAAGACTCAACAAGATCACACCCAAGCCCAGGAATCGCAGATCACACTGCCACTGGCCTCTACCCTTCTCACTGTTGGCCGTGAGCAGGAGGATCTATTTGGATCACCTTTGAAATTTTAAACTGTTAACCTAACAGTTTGTACAATAGCCCAATATTTATATCCAACATAAACGTTCTGAATCAGGATGTGTTGAAAGTGCTGATAAATGGGGTAATATGACCAGCCACCTGGGTTCCTGGAATTGTCCTGATTTTGGAATTGGAGAGAGCCCTGTATCCCGGAAATCTTGTTAGTTCTCAGTGATCTGGGATAGTCCACCCCCTATGACATTTCTTGGGCCTCTAAGACTTCAATAGTAGCATTACAATAGGATGCTACTATTCCAATAAGGATAGAGCAAAGCCTTTTTTATCTGGTCTGCCCATGAATCTGCATCTTACTTTTCTGCTGACCTTTCTCTTCTGATCTTTCCACTGCTGAGCTGAAGTGTTAGCATCTATTTGATAAAAGCATTGAATCCATGAAGTGACTTCATTCTGACATGAAGTGAGAAAAATAAGACTACAATGGATGGCTCCCTACTCAACACCACCCCACCATGACAATCTTTATTGTAAATCTGGCTTTCAACCCCAGAGGTTATTTTCCTCCTCTGATAAGTTTCTTTTAAAAAATCAATTTATAGTTTTCTGAAGTTGATTTGCTTTCCAAAACCTTTTTTAAAGAAATAGTGGAGGCTACACAAGATGAATGTTCAGCTGTTCGGTTGACATCAGTTTTATACACACTGGGAACTTGGCTTCGTTAGCTGTTCATTCCCCTTGCTCTGGGCTCAAGTGAACAATTTAAAAAGTTAGATATGTTCTGTGCCTAGGCCATTCCAAGATGGTAAGTGGTCAATTTGGTACTCACAAAAGTAAGTTTCAGACTATTATTTGTTTTGTGTTGTAAATACACATCATGTTGGAAATCAGCTAATATATAACTTCTATATTGGCAGAGGCAGAATTTCTAGATCTTTCCTTTCTCTATTGCATATTCATTCTCACTGGGTCTTGGGAACAACTTTTCAATATATCATCTATAATCCCACAGTGTATCCCATTTGTCCTCTATCTTATGTCTCAGCCATGATCGTATCCTCATTCAGTAGCTGGATGCCTTTGTGCAGGTCTATCAGCCTAACTGTGCCCATTTTTTCTTATCAGTGACTGTCTCTTACTTTAAGATAATTAAGTCTTGGAATTGGTAAAGGCTCTCAAATTGTGTCTGGTAACTAGTCTGTGTATGTCAAACAAACCAAGTGGGAGGAAGGCAGATATTTCTGTTTTGGAGTTCCTCTGAAATTTCCTTTGATTCAGAAAAAAATAATTGATGTATCAACATATATTGGCTAAGACTCTTAACAAGAAAATTTAAAACCAAAGCTGAGCCCAAATGTAGATTTATTTAGCCAAAAACTATTTTGCTGTTACCTCACTAGTAGAAGGTCATGAATTTCTGAGAGCCAGCAGGTACGCTTCTCTGCAGAGCTTGGAGTCTAAGTTAGGGCTTCAAAATGTCAGTGCATTCTCAAATTTTTCTCTCTCGCCCTTTTTAAATTATTAATAAATACATGAAGGGTGTCTGTCAGGAACTTTCTGCAAAATGCTTTCAGTTGATTCTTTTTTGCAAGGCGTACAAATAAACGCAAGTGTCTGGGGGTTAAAAAGGAAGCAACAGCTTGGCCCACTGCCCGCTAAAGCTGCCAGATGACCAGGTGGAAGGGGCCAGTCTAGATACTGGGAGGCACCTCCACTGGCAGAGAATATAGTCTTTTTCCTCCTGAATTTAAAAGGCATAACAAGAGCTCTTCAAAATCCTTGTCACTTGGTTGTGGCTGAGTGAATTAATCCTGCTGGCAGGATTACAAGTGCCATAACTGCTAAATAGCCCTGTTTATGTGCTGAAGTGTTCGTTCTTCCACAGAGAAATCACAGGTGCACCATTCATGGGCCCCTCTTCATCTGGGGTTGGGGGTTGGGGTTAATAAGAGGCTGAGACCTTGAGATTCTCGTGCTTCCCCTGGGCAGTAACCTAGCATATTCGGGAAGACAGTGCTTTCTGCAGGGCTTTCTGACCTTCCTCTTCTTGCTCTTCCTCTGTCCCAGGAACAGCATTGCTGCATCGGCCGTGTGCGTCTTCAACCTGAGCGCCATCTCGCAGGCCTTCAACGGGCCCTTCAAGTACCAGGAGAACTCACGCTCCGCCTGGCTGCCATATCCCAACCCCAACCCCAACTTCCAGGTAATTTCAAGGGGCAATGGGGTACTCAATCAATCCTCACCCTTAAAATCAAGCCCAAACCTTGTACAGATGGCTGGGATGATTTCAACACCTGATGGATACAGGCATCTGGGAGCCCCCTAGTCCTCTTGGACACTGGGCTTGGCTCATGTGAATGGACTGAGGCTTTTATCAACTGAGCCTTTTGTCAATATGAGGAGCCTGGACCAAAAAGGGGCTTTTGTGGGCTGTGATGACTCAGGCTAGACTGACAAAGGGCATCATAGTGCAGCAGTTGGGAGACCAAGCCCCAATTAGTGCTAATGATGGTGGACTCGGCCCCGAAGCTCTGATCCCTAATGAATGATGCCCCTGTGAATGGGCTCCAGGGCACAGCCGTGGATATGCACACACAGAAATGGAGCTCTAATTGCTGAATGTGGTGAGGTTGCCTTTTTGGGTAAATGGGATGGCATGGGGCAGCTGCAGAGAAAGGGTGGTTATATATCCTCTTCACCATTTTTATTTTTTTTTTGGCTTTTCTTGTACATTTACTTTGCAAGTTCCATATCATACTTTCATTAATAAAATAAGGAAAGAGTGATACAACTATCCAGGGATACATATTTTAATAGTAAATTTTTATAATATCAATTTATGTGCATTGCTTACTGCATAATTTACACGATGAAGATGACTCTTAGGAACCATTTATTGGGTGCCTTCTCGGTGTCACATGTTGCAAATGCTTTATAAGCTTTGTCTTATTTTCTCCTCTGAGCAACTCTGTAAGGTGGGCATCTATATCCACACTTTACACATCAGGAAACTGAGGGATCAGATTTACATTATTTATCCTAGGCTTGCTAATGAGAAAGTTCAGTGCTGGACAGAAAAAGTTCTATTTTGGGTCAGATGAGCTAACAAGGGGAACCAAATCTGCAGTAGTCACTTTCCTTATGACATACATGGTTTATATAATTACTAACTCAACACTGACTCTTGGCTTCTTGGCTGAGTCTCTGTATGTAAATCACACCCATGTCCAGATGAAATGTAACTGTTTAAGAAGATCCTTGTTAAAATCCAGAGGTGAAACAAACAATTCCCTTTAGAAGAGACCATTGAAAAATCCTGAAGGTTAACATGTTTAACAAAGATGCTCACTATATGTAGAATGTATTTTTAATTCCTGATGCTAGTATTGCAAAAGAAAGAACTTAATAAACTCTGTGAAGCCTTACCGCCTCCAGGAAGGGGATAACTTTTAGCTCCTTTATGTGGATATATTGGTAGCCCACGGAAAGTCTGCTCCCTGCCTGAGACCACGGCATGTGGTTTTATAAAGCCAGTGCCACACTGAAGGGCTTACATTGATGAGATGGAAGTAGATCCAATCTGCAATTTAATCAATAAAACTGTGGACAGGTGGCTTTCACTTCAGGCAGGAAGCTGGCTCAGCTAAATTGTTCTTTGGGTGGAATTTAAGATTTGTGGGAAAGTAAAGTTAACAGATTATGGTGGTTTTTCGTATAGCTCCTAGGACAGATATGTTCCAAGTGTTTTCTTTTGGTTTACCTTGTTTGAAGCCGTGCTAGCTTAGGCTTTCTTTCTGACATTTCTGGGACTCTCTATGCCGGCATAAAGTGGAATAGGTTTTGAACTAAGGCTCCCTCTACTAGTCAAGTCTAAAGGGCTTTATGTTTGCAATAACCAACAGTGAGAAATGGTTAGCTTTTTTATTTATGTTTTTATTCTTGTTTGCCTACCAACATTTGGAATTTTATGTGGTGCTTACATACTAGAAGTAGCTATTAATTAGAGAAGCAGAGACATGTTTCAAATTCAGGAAGAAGTAAGGGTTAGGAGAACAGTGCATAATCCTTCAAGATTTGATTCAGAAATCTTTCAATGGAAAAGGATAAAGAAGCAACAGCTATTTATTTATCAATTGCACCAGAAACCACTGTAGGTGGTGCTGCAAAACCCTGCCCTGTGTGAGGCTGCAGTGCCCAGTCATCCAGACCCACCTCCTTACAGAGAACATCATCCAGACACAGTGGTACCCAGCTGTGGTGTACAGGCTGGACTTTTCTGGGCAGTTTTGATTAGCAACTATCAGAAATGATGGAGCTGAAATGGATAGTACACCTGCAGATGAGGACTGAAAGTTCCAACCCTCTAATCACAGGGTTGTTTCCTTTGACAATCAGCCCACATCCTTAGATGCTATCTAAAAATCACCTCATTAACACACCAAAAGACGCCTTTATCCCTCTCATCACTTAGGAAATTTCTAGGATTTTAGGAGCTCCCTATCAGAAACAGGAAGAAGAACAAATGTATTATTCTTTTTTTCCCCTCACATATATTTTATTGATTTTTTACAGAGAGGAAGGGAGAGGGATAGAGAGTTAGAAACATTGATGAGAGAGAAACATTGATCAGCTGCCTCCTGCACACCCCCTACTGGGGATGTGCCCCCAACCAAGGTGAATGTCCTTGACTGGAATCAAACATGGGACCTTTCAGTCGGCAGGCCGACCCTCTATGCACTGAGCCAAACCAATTAGGGCACAAATGTATTATTCTTATTAGCTATCAAAATATCACAAGGCGATGACTTAAGTAAGATACGGGGTCCAGGAATAACAACAAGGGGAGGTTGGTGATCCTGCTACACAGTGCCAGCCCAGATCCCTTCTTTTGGATCTCTCAGATCTCCTGATTCCTCATGAGCAGTGAGAGCTCCTCAAGTTCATGGTCCAGATTTTTATGATACCAACCTTTAAAAAGCAATGTACACACAAAACAAAACCTGCATGCAAAACCTCACCCAACAGGCAGGTAGCTAACAACGACCTGTATCTTAAGTATCGCCATTGATTTAAGGAAGATTAACACCAAACATGAAGTCACTCTCAGGACTAGAACTCCCCTGGATAGACTTCTGGCCACATCAGGTAGAGCTGTCTTTCATTTTGCAGCACATTAATTAACAGGTAATGACCCTGTCCTTCAAGTGTTACTACTACATGGGATGTTTATGTGAAATCTCCTAAAACAGTCCCCCTGGCTGAAAAGCAGCTGCTAGCCTATTCACCCATTGATTCCTTCCTTCCTTTATTTATTCATTCATTTCCCTCTGACCAGCACAACTCAACAGACCGTGGAACTGCTGTTCTGCTACAAGACAAATGCATTGACCAGTTACTGTGCCAGGCAGACCGTCTCCTGCCTCGGCATTTACAAGCACTTACAGTTAATTTACTAATGCTTTCCACTGGTTATCTCAGTCGGTCTCACAGAACCTGTAAAGTGAGCACAGTGTTTTTCTAGCAACTTTATAGGCAGATGCAGAGGCTGGGAAGCAATGTATCACCTGAGACCACATGGCTCCGGCGGGGTGGCCAAGCTGAGCCCTTCCACTGATCGCATGTGGTCCTGTTGCCTGGCAGGTGAGGTGCACCTGTAAGGATGTGCCTTTAAGTGAAGTATTGGGCTGGATTCAAAATCTGTTTCATTCCAAGATTCTCTAATTCTACAATCAGCCTATTGCTTTATGGCATGTAGGACATTTTTATCAAGAGCGACATATCAATAAATATCTGTTTTTTTAAAAGCCATTTCCATCTTACCTGTTAATAAACCAGGTATTAGAAATGGTATGTTATAAAGGGTAGTTTCAGATGGCATGGACGGGGAAGTTTATTTTTATCAAACCATCTTATATGAAGTTCTGGCAAGGATCAGCCTTTATTGGAAATAGGATTTGAAGTTTATGAAAGGCATGAGAAAGGTTGGTGGTAATTTTCTAATTCTGTGCTATGTTCCAGGAAAGTTTTGCTTTCTTTTCTATTCCTTTCTCATCTCATCCTTGCTAAAGAATATCCTACGTAATACCTGTCAGCCTCTGCAAAACCCAGCGCTGAATTTAATTTTCAGCAATTTCTAGGCCACTCCTTCCCCCGCCCCCAACACATCCATATATTCTAGATTCATTATTATATTTTCTCCATTTGAAAACCTCTTTCCTTACTTCATTCTTCTTTCTCATTTTTCTCTCTCCCCACCACCCTCCCTCCTTCCCCTTTAAAGAAAATCTCTTTATTTCCTGCCTTTTGTAAATTTGCCATGTTAGTTCTCATCTTACTAGACTCCAAACAATTTTTTTGTTTCAAAAAGCTCGGGACATTTTTGAGTGAAAGCAATGAAGCCAGCACAGTGTTCTTGTTGCCCAGGAGAAAGATATTAAAATGGCCTAATTCTATCTCTGTGGAATCCATATCTTGCTTATGGACCCACTGCTCCTATAAGAAAACTAATAAATCTGTGTGCTGTATTTGATTGCTGCATTTTCAATTTGGGTACCTGATTGTCAGGCAGATATAAGAGCGTGCATTTAGTCAGACAGCTCCCATGTGACTCAGTCGGCAACATGGAGTTCTGCATACACTGCTCAAATTAAAGTTAGCAATGACTTCCACTTCGTTTATTCTTTTCAACTTCTTTTCATCCATTTATGATGAAGTGGAGAGACTCCTCAAATATAAATTCAAATCTAAAATGAGAGAGACACTAGGGTGGGGATTTCGGGGACAGTGGAGACACAGGCATGTTTGCACAGTTCAGTTATTCAGTGTCTGAGTCAGTCTTCAGCCGGGTGGCCAGGGTCCCTGGGCTCCAGGTAGCTGGCTCCAGCAATGGCCTGTCGTCCCTTGCAGTGTGGTACGGTGGACCAGGGAATGTACGTGAGCCTGACAGAAAGGAACCTGCAGGACGCTCAGAAGTTCATCCTGATGCAGGAGGTGGTGCAGCCCGTGACTTCAGTGCCGGCCTTCATGGAGGACAACAGCCGCTTCTCCCACATCGCCGTCGACCTGGTCCAGGGCAGGGATGCCCTCATCCACACCATCTACTTGGCCACAGGTAAGTGCTCTCCCTTATCCTCCTCCCTCACCCTCTGTGCATCCACTGAGAAATCTTAATTTATCTCTCTCTCTTTCATTCTTTTTTACTACATTAGTCATCATTTTAATAGGAGAAATAGTGTCTGATTTCTTAACTATTGTTCTTTTGCTTAAAAGAAGCCTTCTTGGGGCTAGTGTAATTGGGATAACTTGAGATGATGGAATTTTTAAAAATATATTTTTATTGACTTTTTACAAAGAAGAAGGGAGAGGGATAGAGAGTCAGAAACATTGATGAGATAAAAGCATCAATCAGTGCCTCCTGCACACCCCCCACTGCGGATGTGCCCGCAACCAAGGTACATGCCCTTGACTGGAATGGAACCTGGGACCCTTCAGTCCCCAGGCCGACACTCTATCCACTGAGCCAGACCGGCTAGGGCAAGATGATGGAATTTTTTAGAGGACATTACTGGGTGAAATATTATCTTAGAAGCTTCCATCCACATGGGGACAGCCAATAAGAAGCCCACTACTAAGGAAAACGTGAAAGAGGTGATGACAAGTTTAGTCAGTGGGTGTGGATACAGCGATGTGGTAGAGAGAGCTAGGGAGGCTCCTGCAGTAGCCATCGGGGTTGGCTTTTCCCAGGAGGTGACATTTAAACTGAGAGCTGACAGGAGGAGGAGCTGGCCTTGCAGGTGGCCAGATGCAAGAGTGGTCAGCTGTGGGCAGGGATGTGGCCAGCAGATCATTAGAAGGGGCCACTGGTGCCTCAGGTCATTCTGGGGGAGGGAGGAGTGCTGAGGAGGAAAGGGAAGGAGCATGGGGGAAGTTAGATGGAAACAGCTGTTCTGACTGAGGCTTCCAGAAGCTGTTCAGTGAAGGTTGATAGAGGATTGATCTGGTAGCCTGAGATTTTAAGACTGTTGTTTTAAGAGAAAATATAGGGTTACCACCCCATGACAGTGTCTGCCTTGTTCAGTAGAGTGTGTAAAGGAACCATACCTCTTTTTCTGCCATTTTCATCCTTATTTGCTCTCCAGATGCTTGGCACATGCTAAATTGTAGAATTAATGAACTGGACATTTCAAAAAGCTTTCCTAGTTTTTCTTTACAACTGTTATCATTGATGCCACAGAGAAGAGTTTAGAACTCCAGGAGGCTGTTGAGTTCTTCATCAATACCTGGATGGGGGGTGGCAAACCAGAGATGAGCTGGTTCTGAGCAGCCCTGGGCAAGTCAGTGCAGGGCAGCCTGAGGCCTCCACCTGAGAATTCTGACCTTTTTCACAACCAAGGCCATAAAAAGGTGATGTTTGCTTCTGCTGTGAGCTTCCAGTGATTTCCCGCAACACTCTCCTTCTACTTAAATTGTGACCATCTTTCAGTTCAATCTGTCATAGCAAAATACCATAGACTGGGTGGCTTAAACAACTGAAATGTGTTTCTCACAGTTCTGAAGGCTGGAAGTCCAAGATCTTCCTGGTAAGATCCCTCTTCCTGGTTTATAGAAGGCCATCTTCTTGCTGTGCCCTCACATGGTAGAGACAGAGATAATCTCTCTCTTTTCTTTTCTTATAAGGGCACTAATTCAATTAATGAGGGCTCCACCCTCCTGACCTACTTCCAAATAGCTTTGCTTTGAAAACTAGGGATTCAACATGAATTTGGGGAAGACATACAAATTTAGTCCATGGCAATGAGCAACTTGCTCTACCACACTATTTAAACACGCTCACAGGAATGAAATACATACAGTATGTTTGAACAGACTTTAAATCAAATCTAAATAGATCAACTTAGATAAACTTTTGATCTGATATGAAATTATAGTCAACACCCATGGCTTTTTGAACAGCACAGCCTTCAAGAAACTTGCTTGCCCAAGTCTGTTTGGAATGGGATCTCTCCCTACCACACTATAGCCAGGGAATTAGTTCAGGCTGCCGTAGGTCCAGCTATTCCTGGCTGTCCAATCCGGTCTCCAGGTTTGCAGTTGTGATTCTGTAACCATACACCATATGCCATTCAGCAAATATGAGAGCTTAGGTTTTCTGTTCTATAAACCTGAATCATGGTGTATACATGAAGATGTTGCTGACTCAAGTTATAATAGGTTGGGATATGTGGGAAGATTCCACACATTGAATATTTCTGCAGTTTCCATGACTCACTTGTCATGGTATTTGTTAAACTCAAGGGGAAGAGGAGTTTGCAGTGGGTGAAGCCCAGCAGGGGAACAACCATAGATTCATGGATCCTAAAGAGAGTCCTACTCCAAACCACAGGGCTGACACACAAAGACATCTCCTGGCGACCAGATACACAGAATACTCTTAAGTTTGTTTACTCTAGCTTGGTAATTCTACCTTTAGGACCTTTATGAATTACAAATGTCATGTCTCATCCGAGGTCTGGATTTTCTCATTTATCCTTGATGGCACTGATTACTACATTTAGAAGGAGATTTCTTCTTTAGCAAGTTTTAATTCATAATAAAATTTAGTTTTAAAAGATATAATTTTAATGATTCAGCATATACATTTCTTTTTTTATTTCCAAAGTATAGATATATAAATATGGGCTATTTAAAAGAATATCTGAAAATTTTCATCTGTTTTAACTAAATCTATTAAGAGCTGCACAACTCCTCACAGCAGTAGGGATCACAAAGATGAGAGATTCTGATTTTTAAAATTCAAAAGGCTGATGTTTAAATCTATTGAAATTAACCTTAAGTCAAGGCACACCAGGTATAGCACATCCTGGAATAATGTCCTTTGGTTCAACTTTATATTTCATTATAATGTTAATGAGACAAAAAAAACCCCGCTTCTCCCCAAGTGTGCATGTGTTTTCTCCAGATGCAGTGGTTCCACATCCTAAAGGTGTAGGCATGAAGCGAACTGGCTTTTCTCAGCTCTCCCAGTCTGACTGAGCTTGGATGTATATGAGCGGTCCTGTGATGGGAGGATGTCCTGTCCGGGGTGGGTCTCTCCTGCACCCTAGCTACCAGAAGAAGCTTCAGCCACAGATGTCCCTGAACTACAATCAGAAGATTAGAAAAGAAATATCTTGCTTGTTTTTATTAATCTTTTTGAAATGTATATATAGCTCACATTTATGTCGATGTTTGAGTCTTTGTTTAGAAGTTGTTGTGACCAGAAATATGCCATAGGAACTTACTCTTATTTATATCCGTTATCGTAGGGTTTCTTTATACTGTTTCATTTAAAGTCCCAGTTTCCAAGAACCTATCCTGGACTTTGAGGATGACTGTATAATCATTTTCTTTGATATTTAAGCTGATCTTGAGCTCACATGGCTGGAAGTCCTTAAAGCCCAATTGCACATGCTGGACCTTATCCAGGAATTGACAAATGTTTAGCTGATAAACCATGAGCATGACATTTACAGCAGTGAATGTTGAGCTGGAGTACTCCTTAACTTGATAATAAAATCAGTTTATTATCTAGGTTTGGGAACCCAGGCTTGGCTATACGTTTATTTTCTCCCATCTTGATTTTACATGAATAAATACAAATTGGAGAAAACCTATTCATGGCCATCTAAACGTTGAGTTATTGTAATTGGCGGTATTATCTAAATGTCAACATGAAGTAGACCTTTGCTAGTAATGCTGTTCCTGGTGCTTTCTGCAGCTCCAACAGGTTTCCCTGCTGGCCTCCACCTCACCGGGTCTCACAGCCTTTCCCAGGCACGTTCTGGGTCTGTTATCTTGCTGCTTCCATCTCTCTCATGTGGGACATCCAGCCAGGCTAAGCACATTGTCTGGGCCATTATCCATGCTGATATTTTTATGTTATTTCTTTGAAGGTCTTCTCAGATCCAGAGGCAAAATGGCAAATGCTAACTCCTTTAGAATATTTATGACTGGAGTTCTCTAAGTGACTGACTGATATCCAAAAGGCTGCTCGGTTCCTCTCCACAAAGACAAAATCTCAGTGGTGTTGACTATGCATGTGTCTGGGCATCTCGTTGCTTGCTTTGCAGAGCACTACTCTGTGCTATTCCTTTGCCTGCTTTCTGTCTGCCTCTCCCATGGTCCTGTTGCTTTGGCTCTGCCCATTGCTAAGCTTGTGCTAATTCTGTGTTGCCTCCCTAGAAATAGCACTAGGCTTAAGGGCTACTCCTAGGATGAAATATATTACTTGTATTTTCATTTTGCCTCGATTTCTTGTGTCTATAATTAAACGTGTGTCTTTTTTGCACCATCTTGATGCTTTCCCAATATTCTCTCACTCTTATTCAGGCACTGCATCCGGTAGATCTGAGCCTTCTGTCCCCTGGGCTAACCACTTACTTTATTTTTCTATAACTATTTATCCCCTTAATCCAAACCCTTATTATTTCTGGAGTGTTCTTTTAAACCAGTGTTTGTTCAACTTGAGAATGAGAATGGAGGGCATGTAGAAATACTGGCTCTGAGCCCAACCCCAATGAGATTCTGGTTCTGTGCAGAGTTGCTGGTTCTAAGAGGCTCCTAGGTGAACCTCAACTGGGCATTTCTGGATCGTATCCAGGTAGTGCTGTTCTGGATGAAATAATGCTATTCTTGACCTAGAATCTCTCTCTACCGGATGCACCTTGCTGCTCTCTGTGGTTAGATGTGGTTAGATGCTGACATCATTGGGATGCAGATACCAAATCTGTTATTGGGTGTGAGCCTAACAGACATGTTTACTCTTTATTTCAGTTGTTGAAGGTGTGAATTGCTAATGAGTTGGCAAAAGAGCTTTGACATGATTTAAAAGCAAATGCTTTAAGATTCAGCAATGATTAAATGCAGAATGATTTAAATATATCAAGTTAAATAAATGGTCATATATTATCTGTAATAGATATTGGTGGTCTTGGCAGGAACAGGCAAAGGTTTCAGGAACGATTTACCTGAAATAAAGGAAGGGTGAGCCTGCAGATTTAAAGCACATCACGTTTGAACAATATTGATTCAGAATAAATGAGCACTAGATGTACCCAGGTTAAGTTTTTAAAT